CCACTAACAACAAACCTACCAAACATCCAGTACAATACAATTTTTATTATCAACATTCACCCTTGGATTATTAATTTTATTATATTAAACCCAAATAGCGGTTTTGAAAAGTATATAATATATATATATATATATAATTATCCCTTTTTTTCCTCTGATACAAACGATATCACCTATATTCAATCCATTTTATACCACAACCTTTTTTCTATTACAAAAATTTTTGTTTTTTTCCGGGATGTAGACTTCTCGCTCGCATATACACACACAAACACACGCGCGCACAAATTTACGCAGGCACACAGACACCCATAGTCGCATCAACTTCACGAATTCAAGATTATGTGTTGTATTTTTACAATTTGTGCACAAAAAAGCAACAACTCTTTGCAACATCAACAACATCAAAACCAAAAAAATTGTGTTTATACATGTATTATTGAAACCACAAAAAAAGATTTCGCATCAAAAAAAATATGTTGAAGTTGTACATATACATATTATATATATAATATAATATCATCGTCATAATATACTCATCATATCTCTCCTTCCCCTTCTATACAAAATATTATCTTTTTTCCTCCCACTTTATTATTGTATTATTTTGATGATATCAATTTTTTTACCCTAAACATTTGTTATCATACCTGAAAAAAAATTATTTGCAAACAAATATATATTAAAAATACAATCACACACATGATGATGGGTGACAATAGCGGCAGTAGCAAAGTGGTAAATATGAAAAGTTTCACGTTATATAATAATTCGTCACATAATTCGCATATATTGGTGGTGAATTTTTATTAGTAAAATTATTATCGGTTGGTAGTAGTTGATTATTATCATTATTTCAAAAAAAAAAAAAGATTTTATTTCGTTAAGCTACATAAAGTTTAACAATGGCAAGATCGATGAGAAGAAACGTTTAAGCTAATAAAGTGGCTAAATAATAATGTTGAATGGATCCGTAAAATCAATTTTTCAAAGTGCTCTTTCGAATCAGAAAGTTTATCACTAAAAATTAGCACTGGATGTTTTTGAGGCTAATTATGACTAAAAAAAAGAATAGCGTCGATTTATCCTTTTGATCGAAAGGCAAGATTCTCTACCTCCATTAGATCATCTGTTTATCGATTTAGCACGGTGTATTATCGTGTCTTGCGAGTGTAAGGATCGCTTAATAGCAATAACTATCATCGATTTTTCAAAATCCGCTGTCCTCTAAACAAAACAATGGACCAATTCACTACATGCTGGGAGAAGATGTTGTTTCATCTACAGTTGTGCCACCATGTCAGAAGAGTATCAAATAGGACGCATAACAGCGATTTTCTTCACGGTATTGACGTAATTGTGTGATTAGTATTTCTCCAGCTCGATACTTTGAATGCATATTCTTGCGCTCCAGTGCCGAATCACACCACCACCGTTTCGATCCCGATACCTAATAAAAATAGTCATAACTACCTTTATGTCTCGGATGCAGAGAAAGTGGTTATCAAACTTTGATTTTCGAATCGTGCATTGTATGCATGACGTCAGAAATGTTATAATCCTCTTTTTGATGTCCCCCCATTGCGCAAAGCAGAAATTTTGCGTCGTGTAACATTAATTTGCGTATCGATCTTAGCTTTATTTGGTCAACAAGGAATTCACATTCTAAAATTCGTTTTTATGAAAATTTTGACTAAAACTACCACACAAGATCACTCTTATGTTTCAAAGTATGTTTCTTTGTTCATACGTATTTGGTTTTTTCTCAGTTTCAATCATATTTAAAGGTTTTCCACAAAAGTCATAGATCTTTATCCTATATAAAAACGCGTGGCCGTCTATCAACATTATTATGGTAATTTTTATCACCTGAAACAACAATTTTAAATGATAGATATTTTTATATACACTAAATAAGCTAATCATTGAAGTTGTAAATCATTGAACTGAAACGATTTTATTGTTCGTTGTCCATATTTGCAGATTCCCCTCTAACTTTATTATAGAAGTTCTATGAATTGATTATATTCTATTTTGTGAAATTTCGTTTAAAATCATTCTTTCTTAAATGCAGATCTTACTTTTTCCAGAAGAGACAATTTCAATTTTGAATATCGATATTTCTAACAAGCGATCAAAAGTTTGGCAATGTACACATAAAACAAAAGTAAATTTTGACAGATAGTTGAAGTTTCATAAACTGTAATTTAAAGAAACAAGTATGTTTGTAAATAAAGAACTTTAATTCAACTAATTTTACACCATAAACAAAATCACATGATTAGCCCAAAATTACATGATTATCCTACTATACAAAAAAAGATAAAGAAAAAAATGCAATAAATAATATCTATAACAATAATGTGTACATACATATATTTTTATAAATAAAGGTAAATAAAATAATTGTTCACCGCCAAATTGGCCAGCCAAAAGACAATAACTACAATTTTATTCACCGATCTGCAACCTGTTGTCACTACTATATGCAACCTTTTATTAAACTTCTTCGACGAGTTTTTTTCTTTCTTCTTTACTTTTATTATCATCAGATTCACTTAATCCACGTGATGATTCGGTTATTGTCTCTTTTTCTCTCCGCGTAGTATGATTATATTTCCCGCGCATAAATATGAATCTTAATAATTCTCCAATTGCACGAAGAACCAAAAACAGCGCGGCCACAGCTAACAGTATAAGGTTCGTCCCAGCCTTCTTAATCATGTCGTCTTGTAGTGTGCTATCCTCTTTCAGATGTCCCAAATCTGTATGCCACGCGTAGACTAACCAACCGAGATAAAAGAAACAAATTAAATCGGCAACAAAGGATAATTGCCCTACTTGTTTTTCGGTTAAATATTCATTGCCGAATAACAAATATGCTTCTTTTTTGCCTAAATTTGTAAAAATATTAACGTTAATAAAAATTTCATGAAAGACAGACTACTAAATTTTAGGTCTACATATATATAATACCTATGAAGATACCGACTCCATCCCAAAAACCAAGGTTAGCGCAAGTGAACTTTTTTATTTGATAAATATTAAGGAAACGTGGTAATAATTCAAAGATTGCGATAATGATAAACACATCTCTTGAAATTGACTTCTTATCTGCCTAAACAATCAAAACACAAGTTATTATCACGAAATACAAATTCTTCTTATTATTATTCCGAGTAAAAAAATCGTACCTCTTTATAAAGCATATAAACCAATAAAAGTGTGCCAATTAATGTATAAAAATTGATAACAGCAAATCCACCCCACCATATTTTTTTCCACTTTGACGGGTTATGCATTGGCGAAGCTTCGAGATCTTCTTGACTATTTATTTCAGGATTACTAGAAAAATTATTATTTGTCGGAGGTGTTTGTATGGGAGGTGTTTGTATGGGAGGTGTATGTATGGAAGGTGTATCTATGGGAGGTGTTTGTATGGGAGGTGTTTGTACGGGTGGATGTGACTGTTGAGGTTGTTGATGATGTGGTTGAACATTGTACTGTGGGTATTGAGAATTAGGATATTGTGAAGTAGCGATAGGATGCTGATAATTAGGATATTGGACATTAGAAGGGGGATAATAAGAATGTTGTTGAGGATTCGTTGGACTAACAGGTGGAACGTGTGCATTATGATAATGCGCTTCGCCTTCCCCTGTGTTAAAATGCCAACCTCCAACATGGGATTGGTGGTGGTGAAGTGGATTATGATATTGCATTATATTATAATTCTTAATCTCTTAGGAATAAATATGATACACACAAGAATAATCAAAAACTTTGGTGGTTTTTCCCTCCAAACAAAAAAGAAAAAGAATGGATAGAAGTTCGAAAAGACAGAGAAATGCGAATATAAATGTTGTACGGAACCACACAATAATGGTATGATCTATATATAGAATTACTATTTAGATTTAAAACGAGAAAAAAAATTTATTGGTGTTTGTACCATATTTGTTCTCGCAGCAAGTATCATAATAAATGTATCGGTATGTAAAATAAATGGATTATTTCTATCTTGAGCGACTATCGTTGAGATGATTATTCTTTGTCTTCTTACCATAATCGTCTGTTTAATAATAACCTGTACACAAAAATTTTTACCAGTCATCTGGTTCCAAATCAGGATAATATTGTATCATGTGATTATTTGGCCAGCATTATAAAATTAAAAAAATAATTCTGGTAAAAATTAAAATTTTACAAAAATAAAATCTTTAATTAATATTATTAAGCATTGAATAATTATGATATCTTTTAATAATAGATTATTATTCATATTATTAAAATATTATTTCATTTTTGATATTTTTTTATTAATTTTATATTTTAAACTATTATATAATAATATTATTACCATTTTAAGATTATGCGTATATAATTATTTTAAAATGATAATAATGACTGTATTCATGGCAATTGTTTATTTTTATAGCTTCAAAAGATTATATGACTAATTATTCTTTTAATAAGGTGATGTGTATAAGATTTACTTCTAATAAAATATGATTATCTTCTTAATAAGATAATTTATACATGTTTTGCTT